CAAGGGAGAGAAAAAAGCTAGATATCTTTACAGAAATAGGAGTGTACTAGGTACATTGATCCACTAGGTACATTGATCCACTAGGTACATTGTACACATATTAGATATCTTGCTTTTCCCCTACTTTGCCATATATTATACATGTATTTCCATGTTGGCCTCTCACTCTTTTTATTTTTTTTTTATTTTTTTTTTTGCGGTACGCGGGCCTCTCACTGTTGCGGCTTCTCCCGTTGCGGAGCACAGGCTCCGGACGCGCAGGCTCAGCGGCCATGGCTCACGGGCCCAGCCGCTCCGCTGCATGTGGGATCTTCCCGGACCGGGGCACGAACCCGTGTCCCCTGCATCGGCAGGCGGACTCTCAACCGCTGCGCCACCAGGGAAGCCCTCACTCTTTTTAATAGCTGCATGTTATTCCATAATATTGATACACCATCACTTAACCATTTCCCTGTTGATGGACATTCAGGTTGTTTCCAGTTTGGAGCTACTGAAAAAAATGCTGGAAAGAACAGCTTTTCACACTTGTGTTCATATTTCTATAGAAAACATCTCGAGGAGTGGGACTGCTACATCAGTGTCCATTTGTGTGCACACATTTTCACCCACTAAAAGCCCAGGACAGCTTTGACTTTTCATATCAGTCTCATGTTCAGAAGTATAAAAGATAAACTCTTAGGTTAAAAAAACAAAACAAACTACTGTGTATTTGATTAAAGGTGCAAATGCTGTGACCCTGATTTAAAGGCAGAATAACCAAGCAGGGGGCTTGGATGACCACAGAGAATCAGAGAGAGAGAGAGAGACTGAGACTAGGAATGCCAGCAGGGGGGATTTGCATTGGAAGATGGGAATATCTGTGGTAAAATGGCTCAGACTTGAACAAGCATAGCTTTGCAAAGTTAAGCTGTTGTCAAGCTAACCTTGTGTATCACAGGGAATAGCAGGACGTCCTTAGAAAACTGTCTCTTAAAGTTGACAATCCTGTGTCTCAACAGCCCCAGATGAGTGTAAAAGGGCAGCATCGTCCCAGACTCCCTACTGATTCCTGCATTCAAAATGTATTAAGAATGTTTTTTATGCCCGGCATTATACTGAGCATTACAAATATAAAGAAGATGAATAAAAGACTCTGACCTCACGTTGCTCAGTCTTAACACAACAGTAATTATCAAGACATTGTAAATCAACTATACTTCAATTTAAAAAAAAAAAAGAAAAACGTGGGGAAAAAAAAGAGCTTCTCCCTTTCCTGCTTGGAACAGTGTCTCTACTCAGGCAGGTCAAAGCTTTTGAAAACAAACAGAGTGGATTCTTTCCTGAATAATTGTCCTATTCAGGGACAGTTAATGACATCAACTTTTCTAAGCTGCAGTCTTAGCAGTTTCTTTGTCCCTACAAAAAGCACCAAAAGAAACTCTGCTAATTTAATTAGATGTGAAGAACTAACCTATCAGAGTGATCACCTAGTGCCCTCCGGGGGATTCCTCTTGAAGTATGGTATCTGATGACAAGGGCTGAAGGACAGTGTGGTTCACCATCTGAGTCAGTTGCTTGTGTTGACACTTTCTTAGGAGCAGGTAGGGGAGAGCAAACCTTGAGTCAGAAGTCACTTTAGGCACTTTATTTTGGACACACTGTGTTTTCTTCTTCTTATGACTCTGAGTCAATAGCAAGGCAGGTCTCCTATATATGAAAGAAGGTCTGATTTTTATATCAATCATTGGTAAATTCTCTGTAAACCTGAGGGCAATCACTTAATACCAACTTTAAAGCAGGTCACATAAGAAAGATCCAGTGGGGTCTTCAGAGAACTATATTAATAGGCTGTAAGCAGATTTTTGTATTAAAGGAATAAATCCTCTGTTATGGGGAGGAAAAAAATATCAATGTCCAGAAGATTTCAGGGAGCATGAACCACAGACCTGTCGAGAAACTTCAAAGCCAGCTTTGTGATAATTGAGGTCACTGGTTTCTTTACATTTATAGGGCTCAATTTCCCAAGTGTTATGTGTTAAAGAAACAAAGCATCCATCAAATTTGCTAACTTAATATTAAACACAATTTCAAACCACTTAGGACTGGTTTTCAAAGGTAACTGACAGCTTTGTTTTTGATTTGTCTCATTAGGCTGAGTCCTCTTTTACCTTTAAAATAGATGTTTAAAATTAATATCTAGATCTAGATTTTGGACCTTAACATAAGGTTAAGAAACATTCTTTCTGTGTTCCCCCCTGTACTCTGTTATTTCTAGCTAACAGGTTAGTTGCACTCTGTGCAGAAAAATATCAACAATATGTTTTTCTCTGTCGTGGGCTCCACAAGGGTGAATTAAAAGAAAACTTAACAGGTACTTTCCTACTTCGAGCAGTTGGGTCTACGTATTTATCTTTCGCTTTTTTTCTTTTCCCATGTTTACGGAACCGCAATCTGGCAGCGTGAGATGCAGTCAATCAAGTATTTCGGGAAAACCTGAGCAAATCCGACCATTCAAAGGAAAACCACTTCACCTGAAGGTGTATAACGACGCTGGACGCACAAAAATAACCCTGTCAGTGGGGTCCAGCTGGTTACATCATGGAATATGGCAAACTTCTGTTTAGTTTGCAAAGCCCTTGGCCGGGAGGAGGAAGGGACGGAAAAGTTTGAGTGAAGGCTTTAAATGACTAGTCATACAGACAGTGAGTCATTGTAAGTTTCCAGTTAATAATCCCCTCTGCCGGGGTAGAACCTGGGCCGGAGCGATTTATGAGCCACTTTGCAGTTTTAGTGGTAATGGGTCACGGTTTTATTGTCTCTTCCACCAAATGAATACAGAAAATGAAGGACGCCCTGCGTCGCCTTTGAAATGTAGGGCAAATTCTGGCTGGGGGCGGGGAGGAGGAAGGTGGAAAGAAAGAGAACACTGTACGGAGACTGTAAGGCAGGGAACGCAGAAGGCTGGTGAAAAGAGAAAGAAGGAATTTTCAGGAGTTGAAAGCTTTTTTCTCCACCTTAGAACTGCTGTTCGTTTTCCCGCGTCCTGTGTAGAACAGGACGGAGCGGCCCACCCCCGCGAGCTGAGAAACTCACGGTCCGCCGCCCCGCGCCAAATCGCACCAGGGCTCGCTCTCACCCCTGCCCCCACCCGGTGACAGGTGGGGCAGCCGAGCTTCGACCAGACCTACGCCTCCTCGCGCTGCATGCCGGGAGCCGGCGCCGTTTCCGGTTGCTCCCAGCCCCGAACTCCGACTCCCGTCGGCCCCCGGGAAAACCGCAGCGGCGTCACGCGGGTGCTGCCGGAACTCGTAGTTCCGCCTTCTGCCGCGCTTCATAGGTGGAAACGGGGTTGACCGGGGCCGAGAACTACCAAGGCGAAGGTACGGGAAGCGGCGAGGGGTCAATCTGCTCCGGGCGTGGGGTTGGCGGTAAGACGGTCGGAGGTGGTTGGGGCTGGGTGGGAGGAGATCCGCTCGCACACACGAGGAGGGTTGAGCCGCTGCTGCCGTTGTCGTCGCGAGTGCGGAGTCGGAACTGGAGCTGCTGCCGCGACGACGCCGGGAATTGTGCCGCTAGCCCCCGGGCTTTCTGCCTCGCCGCTTCCCTGGGTCAGCGCGGCCTGCTCCTCCCCGGCCCATAGCCCCCGCCTCCATTTCCCGCCCTCGCTTTACCACACACACGGCCCCCCCGATCATGGATCCTGGCAGTGGTGGCGGCGGTGGTGGCGGTGGCGGCGGCGGGAGCAGCAGCAGCAGCGACTCAGCACCGGACTGCTGGGACCAGGCAGACATGGAAGCCCCCGGGCCAGGCTCGTGCGGCGGCGCCGGCGGTCCCTTGGCGGCGGCGGCCGAGGCCCAGCGTGAGCACCTCAGCGCGGCCTTCAGCCGGCAACTCAACGTCAACGCCAAGCCCTTCGTGCCCAACGTCCACGCCGCCGAGTTCGTGCCGTCCTTCCTGCGGGGCCCGGCCCAGTCGCCGGCACCCCCACCTGGCGCCGCCGCCAACAACCACGGAGCCGGCAGCGGCGCGGGAGGCCCTTCGGGTAAAGGGCCGGGACGCGGGGCAGCCCCGGGACGCGGGAGGTAGCCGGGCTGCGAGGGCGGGAGCAGCCGGCCTGGGGGCCGGAGCTCACCTGGGATGGGGCCCGGGATGGGGTCGAGGGCGCGCCTCGCCGGACCGGGGACGCGTGGCCGTGGGGCCGGGCGGCACGTGGGGCGCTGACAGCGGCGCCCGCTGTCCTGGGTGGGGCGGCCCCGGTCCGGGGAGGCGGACTGCGTAGGCTGACCGCGGCGGAGGGCCGGGCGGGGCGGGAGCAGGGTGCCGGGCACACCGGAGGGGCCTGGTGTCCGCTCCTCCCCCCCGGGGCCGCAGTTCCCCGCTGGAAGTGGGAACAGTATGGGACAGAGTGGGACGGCCGCGGGTCAGTGCCACGAGGCCTAGAAACGAGGACAGATGGAGCCAGGAGGAGTCGGCCGGATGGGCGTTGAGAGAGATGAGGAGTTGGGGAGGACGACTGGTCGAGTTTTCCCTTCACCTTGGGCCTAGGCGAGAGAGCGTCTCTCGCTGCAATTTCTATTACTGAAACTGTAATTACATTTAACATATCTACGGCACCGAACCGTCCTGAAGGAATCCCAGGATGCATTGCAGTCTTGCGATGGGGCAGAAACTGTTGGCTATGTATATAGATCTTTTTCACCCTTAGCATTTTGTAAGCTTGTGAAGTTCACAGTGTCCCAAAGTTAGAGTTCCTCACTTAACATTAAAGTGTGTAGGAGACTACGCTGATTTGTCTGCCCTTTTTATAAGTGGAATTTGGACTCTTCTCCTTAGTTGGTGACACGTTTAGAATTTTTATTGCGTTAAAATCGTTTGCCTTATTTAGGTTGCTTGGTGTAACTCTCTCTGTGCTCCTGTGTCAGGAATTAGTCTGTTCAAACTTATTAGGTGTCACGTGCCGTTTTGACCATAGCGAGTAGACAGGCTTTCTGTGGTTTCAAGTTAAGTTGTCTTCAAAACTCTTTGTGTATTTAGGGGCTGCTTAAGTGATGGCATGCTTTCAGGTACTGATTTTGTAGGAATGTCAAATGAGTGAACTTGATTTCTCTTTCAAGTTCTATACTGTAGCATTTCTTGGATAAGTAGACATTGTAAAAGTGCTCTAGGAGTTTCGTTTCTTCAGAGACTTCGGCTACAGTTTTCTCTCTAGAGGCAAAAAGCGAGTTTGGGGAAATGTTTTTGGGAAGTATGTCTGTGAGCACACAGTTCAGATTTGCTTGTTTTATTGACTGGTATTTCTTTTACTTGTGTGAAGCCGTTGAAGTTTGCCCTTTGAATAAGGAAGCTTAGCTTTGCCTAGACCAAGTCCTTTGGGCCACATAAACTAGTTCGCTTACTAACTCCTAAAAGTGCCTCTTTCCCCAAACCTTATCATGAAGTTTCTTTTATCCAGCCATTTTATTTTTTGGCCCTCCCTCCTAACTCGAGTTGCCAGTCATCAAGGGAGCATCGTCCTTAGAGCAGTGGTCTGGAATGGTGGTCATTCTTGAGTAGGCATTGCCTCTTACGTAGAAGGACTGTCTTTTCTCTTCCTGGTATTTGCCAATTTGCAGTTTTAATCCTTTGTGACACTGCTAGAAATTGGAGATGTAAGAATGTATAGGAAAGTGGTTGTCCCTACCTTATGGTCCCTACATTGTGGTCAGTTTTTTCTTTTTTTAATCAGAAACCTATCTTGGTGTTACTGACTCTATCAGCTGCTTCTGCAAAATGCCAGTTAGTGTTAAAACAACAGCAGCAACAACAACAACCCATCCTCTGTAGGATGTCTGTTTGGAAAAGAATGGATTTTCTAAATTGAGGTCCGGAGTTAATGTGGCACCGTTGGATCGCATGTTCCAGCTCATTCAGGTCCATAAATTACCAGCATCAGAGCAGAGAACTATGCTTGGAAGGAGCAGGGAAAAAATTGGAAATAGCACTTAGGTTGAAATTTACAAAGGGGAAACCATAAAGTTTGCAAGTTTTTTATACTGAGGAAATGGACTGTAGGGCTAGCATGTTTTCTTCTGTTGTTAACCCATAGCTGAAATTGGTGGTGGGTGTGTTTTTAAACTAGATACCAGGGGAGCTCTTGAAGGAGTCTAGAGGTAGAGCGCTAGAATGAATGACTTTTAAAATGAATGAACGACTTTTAAAATGTGTGTGTCTAGGATGAATATCTGTCATTCTCTGGAAAGAGGGCTAGTTTTCTCTTTTTCTCTCTTACTTTCTTTTTTCTTCTTTCTTTTTTTTTTTTTTTGAAATAATTTCAGTGGTGCTTTGAGCAGTAGGTAGAGGAAGATGCTTTGGCACAAAGCGTCATTCACTTTCACTGGCAGGCTGCTGGTTAATGCTTATATCCACCTATCTCGAGTCAGAACTTGGGATTCAGTGTTGACCTTGGATCTCTTTGAAAATTTTTAATATAGGTTTCCAGAGAAATGGTTAAGTAGAACTCATGCAAGTGTAATTAAGTATAATTCACTTAAGAGCAGTTCTCTACAGATGCAAGTAAAATGGCTAAGTGATGGTTGTTTAGAGTCCCTGAAATGAATGAAAACGTAGACAAGGGTTGTGTGTGCTAGAACAAACATTTTCTGTGATCAAATGTACTTACTTTCAGTTCCAATTTGCACCAAGTTCAGTCTTGCTCTGTCTTTTTTAGTGTGAAATGAGAAACAGGTTCAGCA